CATGTTTACATCGACCCAACCAGCCTTGTCCTATTAGTTGGTCCCCTCAGCACGCACTGTTACTGTTGTTTTCTCCACAAGAATGGTTCTGTGCCCAGGGCATGCATGCAATTGCTACCGAGTCTCAGGATTTGAGGCAGCAAGTCTGCGTCTAACCCGGCGAACCCCTGTCCGCCCTGTGTTCTCACCAGGCACGAGACGCACAGCCTGTTCTTGCTGCCTAAGCAGCGGCACGCCAGCAGGGTCCACGTGCTTCCTCGCCAGGCCCGGGAAGGGGCATGCCAGGCGGCAAGCAGGGCCTTCACTCAGGGTGAATTCCGCCAGGGGGAACCTTCTTAGTTTTATTTTATTTATTTTGCACCAATGACATCTCCCAGGAGAACTGGACCAAGAAGTCCCACAAAGGTTGGAATCAAACCCATTGCAAAAAGAAAAAAAAGGAAAAGGGAAAGAAAGGAAAGAAAAGAAAATGAAAGCAAAAAGCAAAAAGGAGGAGTGCTGCGGTCTGCAGAAAACTGAACTGGAGTTCTTCCCGCACAGCCCGCTGAGGGGGAGCACAGGGCCCTCCGGCTTCCTCCGCCGTCGGAGCAGCTGCCCACAGGCCATCAAAGCCAGGCTCCTGTGAGGGGCCTGTTGTCTGATTAAAGGGAATTTTATGCTAAACATCAGCCGCCAGCACGGCTGTGTGGGTGAGCCGGATAAAATCTTCATGGAAATGCCACCGCAGGGTCATTTGTTTAACTGCAAAATGTAAAAATAGAACGAGCTGCCACGAAGGGTTGAGGCCTGACAGCTTCATGGCGAGGCTCCAACAGCACAGAAAGCGCTGTTCCCTGGCTCGCTCGCTTCCTCCTCCAGAGGAAAAGGACAGGGAAGTCCCGAAGCAAGGCCTGCTTCCATTTCCCTCCCGCTCTGCCCCTTTCCTTGCTCTTGCGCCCGCGCCTTCCTCTTCTCCCACCTGCTTCCTGTCTCCTCCCACTTCACTTGCCTCCTCTCCGATGCCCGGCCCTCCTCTCCTTCATCACTGTTATGTGTCATTTCTTTTTCTCCTTCCGGGGATGGTTCTCCGCCCAGGCTTGGACTCCCCACCTGGGCCACCCCTGCTGCCTCAGGCAGCCTGTCTCCGGGCAACCTGGTCTCACAAACTTTTCTAGAAATCGCTCTTTGGCCCATCCCATCTCTGCCCCCTCCGCTCCCCTACGCCCCACACACCGAAAATGATCAGGAGGCTGGCATTCCAGAGGCCAGTGAGATGCCATGGCAGTGTGCTGGGGGCTGCCTTGTGTCGGACCCCTTCATCTCGCCAACGAGGCTTCTCATTTATGGAGCTCAGCGGCTTCTGAGTGCTGGGGAGGGGAGGAGGGGCAGCACCATCTCACTGGTCTTGTGTTTTGGACGAATCCATTTTTAATTTTGTGAAGTTTTTTTAAAAAAAATAAATGTTGAAGTTGCACTTTTCAATGCTGATCCTTGAAGCCAACAGCCACCTCCACATCAATTATTATAATCCTGGCTCAGAAGAGGAATTTCTCTTTTACGGGGGCTCCAGGGCTGGGCCAGATGCCCCGCAGGAGCTGAGAGAGGGCGGCCCCTGCCTCCTGCCCGCAGGGTCTCAGCAAAGTCCAGGGTCTGTCTGTTTCAAGTCTGTGAGCTCAGCTGATGGAACCCACGCCGTTTCCCTCCTTTACTCCGCTGAGCGGCGCCTCGGCTGGGACCAGAGCAAGGAGACCCTTCCCCGGCCTGTGAACTGCAGGAGCGTCCTCTCTAAAGAGAGCGTCAGTGCTGGTGTGAGGAGAGCCTAGCAGAAAGGAGGGCTTGCAGGTCACTAGCTCACCGACTCAACAACGTCACCTCACCCTAGAAGAGAACCTCAGTTCCTGTTTTCATTGCGACCTTGCAGATCTGCGCCTGAGCCCACGGACACGGGTCCCCGTCTAAGGAAGCCTAAGTTCACACATCAAACGTGGCAGCCGCCACGGCAGCAAGCGCCCACGCAGGATGCCGCCCTCTCTTTGCTGTCACAGCCCCACCCTCCTGCCTCTGTTTGGAACTGTTCGTTCCCACACAGAAGCGCAATGCACACCCACAGGCATTGGGTGGATACGGGGCGTCCCTTAGGAGCTGGCGCCTTGGGGAAATGGGACCCGGGCATCTAAAGAGACACCAGTGTTGCTGCTTCATGCATAATAGGGTTCTGGATCAAATCAAGGAAATGGTCATTTTGGTGCAATCGGTGCATGATCATGCCTCGGCAAAAAATGAAGTGTGGTTCCATGGGTGCAAAGGGGGCAGAGGAGAGGAAGAAGGGAAAGATGCTAATGAAGCCGAAAGAGCAATGAAAACCAGAACAGTGTAAATTACAGCAGGCGTCCCACAAGGAAGCACCCCATCAGCTGGGAAAGTGGAATGGGTGATAACTCCCAGCAGAATTCTATGTAATGAAAGGGTAATATGCAAATTGACCGAATGGTGGAATGACCAGTTGCTATGATGCATACTGACCACCAGGGGGCGATGCTCAATGCAGGAACTGCCCCCTGGTGGTCAGTGCACTCCCACAGGGAGAGCACTGCTCAGCCAGAAGCCAGGCTCGTGGCTGGGGGATGCAGCAGCTGTGGTGGGAGCCTCTCCTGCCTCCACAGCAGCACTAAGGATGTCCGATTGCACTCGTGCACCAGGCCTCTAGTTGTAAATAGCATCCAAAGCCACAAGCTGCTGATAACACACGCCAGCTGTGCAAAAGCAGCAGCCACGGGGAGCAGAGCAGCGCAAAGCCCTGGAGTGCAGCTGCAGCCCTGAGGCTGGTGACGGGGGACAGACTAGAGATGTGGTGATGGGAGAGCCCTGATGGGAGTGAACAGTGAGCTAATCTACAAAGACATCAACTGACTGGTATGGTCCAAAAGTAAAGGCTAGAAGGTGGTGGCAGGAACAACCTTTATAATGTGGTCTCCTTATAAAGATGTGGTTTCATTCAGGCCTATGGTCCTCGGGAACAGCTGAGCAAGAGACCAAATAAGGCTTTCACATTTGGTGACAACGCCACGTTGGGGTACTTTAGCAGCACCCCAGTTGTCTAGGGGTTGATAACTTGCTCAGAACGGGTTCTTTCCAACACTAACACCCGAGCATAGCCGCAGATCTCCAAAACCAAAGGGCCTTTGAGTGCGGATAGGAAAAACAGAATTTCCACAAGCCTGGTGGAGACCCAGGTCCTCTGCTACCCATGATGCCCGGCAAAGCTCTTGGTCCAAGTTGCAAGTTGAGGACAAGACCTTCTGAGCAGGTTACAGAGTAAATGAACCAAGAGGAGGGGCCTCAGACCAACTCTGCGGCCTCCCCAGCGACCTCACTGTCCACCATCCAAGGCTCCAGCTCCGACCTGTGGAAGCAGTGAAGGTGGCACGCTAGCGACATCCAGTGTGAGCAAGAGACAGGATCTTCAGTGAGGAGCAAAGGCAGAGGCACCACTGAACAGAGGGAGGAAATACCAGCCCCGCCCAGAGCGCAAGCGGATTTGCTCACACAGGAAGCAAGGGTCTCTATTTTGTCCTCCAACCTCGATGCTGCTTAAGGAGAGAGAGGGCGCTCAACTGCATGGGTATGGATACCTCTCCCGGTGTGCCTGCTCCGCAGCGAGCCTCAAGGTCACATCGGGGCACGTGGGACCTTGGGTAGGGACAGAAAGGCAGCTTTTGCGAATAGTTTCTACTATTAGTTTTCTGAGCCTAAAGAGAGAACCCCAGCCGAGGTACATGCCTGTTGAAAAGCCTCCAGGCAGAGCGCTCCTGGTCCATAAAACACCGTCTGTGTCTCTCAAAGACGCTGTGCCCACGGGGTGCCAGCTGAGGAGACGGCTGCCGCTAAACGGCTTCTTGGCCCTCCCCAGAGGGTGGTGGGTCACATCGCTGCTGTCATGGAAACATCCCCTTCACGCGTCTTACAAAGATGTCCTTAGACCAAACTAGGGGTTTTCCCAGTACATGCGACATGCACAGCCTTCGCCTGCCCTCTGGGTCTGGGCATGGAATAGAGTCGCTCCTCGCACGGCTACGGGTCCACCAGGAGGCACAGCCCAAGAGCATGCTGTCAACTGCCTGTCACCTGTGGCCTGGGGCCTGTCACCCTGCTCAGAAACTTCTTAAAAACATTTTTTATCGATTTCAGAGAGGAAGGGAGAGGGAGAGGGAGAGAGGAAAAACATCAATGATAGAGAGACTCATGGATCGGCTGCCTCCTGCACGCCCCACACTGGGGATGGAACCCACAACCGGGCATAATCCCTGACCAGGAATCGAACCCTGACCTCCTGGCCCATAGGCTGATGCTCAACCACTGAGCCCCGCAGCTGAGCCTAAGAAACTTTTCGAGGAATGACATTTCTCCAGGCATGATGTTGGCTGATGGTGCAAACAAGTTGTTTGCTCTCTGACAACATCCGAATGCACACCTGTCACCCCTTCACCTACTCCGTCAGTCACTCCCTTTCCTCTGGAAGGGGCTCAGCCAGGAACCCCACGCCTCCCGCCGCCTCGGCTTCCTAGTCTTCCTGGGATGAGTCCCAAGCCGTTCACTTCGTCTCCCTTTCAAGTCTGGACTCCTACGTGCAAGGAGAGCAGGCAGAGGGGGTGAGGGTGGCCAGAGCGGGTCATGGAAGCCAGGGTCCCGGGTCAGACTTTGGCCAGAGAGCAGTAGGAGCAGCCCCCGCCCTCACCGCGGTCTGAGACCCCAGAGCTCCAGGGAGAGGGCGCTCGGTCCGGGAAGCTCATGAAGGAGGTGGTCTGTCCCCGGGGCTCCCGGGCACCAGCGCTCAGGGCGGACACACAGCCAGGCCACTGCCCATGTCAATAGCTTTACCGGCTCTCGGAGCGCGGAGGTTACCTAAGAAACTGGGGTGCGGACGAACAGCGGGTCCCACCCCCACCCCAAGGCTCCCGCAGCCTTCAGAGCCCGGGCTCCCCAGGTCGCCCCTGCAGGGCCCAGGGCGCCAGGGGTCTTACCTGGGTCGGTGGGCAGAGGCGCTCATGGGGGCGGCCG